TTCTCCTTTTTTTTTTCTCTGAACGCCCCTCTCCGTAGGTCACGCTCTCTCGCCCCCTCTCGCTCCGAAGGCGCGCCTCAACACAACGAAGAAGATGAACACACCACGGCAAATGAGTGTCGCTGCGCGGCCCTTCTCCACCCTTCTTTGTGCAAAGGACGGATACCGACGCACAGCGGGATTCGCGGCGGGAGAGCCACGCTGTCTTCTCTACCCAAACGGAGGATAGAGGGGAAAAAAAAACAGGAGACAACAAGAGCAAACGTCAACGCAAGAAGGAATACTTCCCTTTCTAACAAACAGAAATACATGAATTAAAAGACAAGTGGCACAGAATTGACAAATATTTTTGTTCATGAAAAGAAAACACAATGCATTCAGCTTTGTCCTGTTGTTGTTGTTCCTCACAGTAAAGCTTCGTCACATTGTTTTTATCTGTTGTATATACGCACCATCTTGCTTTGTTATCTCCAGACCTTTTTGTTTTGTTATTCGTTTCTAACGTCATCTCTCGCCCCCTCTCCCTCGTTTTTTTCTTTCTTTCTCTTCTCAAACCAAAAGTGGTTTTCCAGCTTGTTCTCCATTTATATGAGTTCAAGAGAGGAACCTTCGTGTTGACGGTGAATGAAGTGAGGTGACAGTGTCGCTCGCAAGACAATTCTTTTCTGCTTCTCTCACTTCTCTCTTCTTGACCTTTTTTTCTTTCTTTTCTGTTTGTGATGCGGCGCAGGTGTGTGCACACCCGTATTGTTGAAAAAACGTCCACATCTTCGCCTTTTACGTTCTTTGTCCTGGAAATGACGCTTGACTCTTTTTTTTAAATCTCCTCTTGTAGAAACGAAGGGGACTTCGAACTTCGACGTCCTCCTTTCGTTCGTTGTTGTGGCTAGTGCTGATATCTTCTCTTTTATTATTATTATTGTCTTTCACGTGTTTTTCAGTTTTTTCCTCTCTTTAATTGATGGACACGCAATCAAGATCGCTTACTCCTGTTTGCGCTATCCAGGCATATTTATTTAAAGAGCAGTGCTTTTCTTTGCGGTGCTTTGCGGGCCCGCTACAACGCTGGTTGTACTTTTTTGTTTTCGCCCTTTGGTTTTCTTCGTCCTCCCGTTCTTATATCTTAAGTTCTACGTTATTTCTTACTTTCATCTCCCTTTTCCCTCTTTCATAAAGTGATCACGTCTTTCCACTCGAATTTGTTGTAACAGAAGAAAACAAGAGAGATGAAGGTGATAATAAAAGCAAGTTTATTTACGCAGTGTGCCACCGCCCCTTCACTTCTCTTGACGTCCTTTTATAAAACTGTTTTTTTTTTTTGCATTTGTTTCTTTCACATATCTGTGATTCATCGTAGTGATCTTCTTTTCCCTTTTTTCCCCTTCTTTTGTTTTCGCAGCAGCGATGTACATTAACCTTTTCCGCTCTTCGATTTGTCTTTGAAGCTTTTTATTATTATTGCCACCTCGTCTGCACTTGCGCATCGTGCAAAACGAGGAGGAGAACAACAAGGACGAATGAGCCGACAAAGAGGTGCATGAAAACTGAAAAGAAAAATATGAAAACACGCATTTCTTCTTTTTTTTTGTAGGAGTTTTGATTCTCTTTGCCCTTCGCCTTCCTTTTTTTTTCATATTAACGTCATTGTGATTTCCCATTCACCACTGATTACAAACAGTCTTCACCGCCTTCTTCAATCTACCTCGTGTGTGTGTGAGTGTGTGTTTGTGTGCTTTGTGTATTGCGGCTCTTGTTTTGGGGTATTTCTTTTCTTCTCTTATATGATGCGCCTTTAAGGACCGTAAACAGGCGATGAATGCCTTTGCGTGTCATTCGTGAGAGGAAGGAAAAAGCGAAGTACGTCTTTTTTCTGTACTCTCACTCCATCGTCTTTGCACAAGAATAATTTGGCTGCCGTTTGCAGCCATCTTTTTCCTTTTCTTTTTATGCGTGCCATTGTTGACCCCCCGGCGACGTGGGTAACCGTACGGTGCCAAAAATGGTGTAACCAGGCTCTGCGTCGTCTTGGATTCTCTTCCGCATCGTTCCGAAAAAGAAATGCAAGTGCGTTTGATGGTGGAAGTTTGGATCAGGACGTGAGCCTCTTCTTCTCCTCAGAACACCCACAATACGCCCACTCACACACAGGACTGGGTCCCTTCGCTGCGTCAGTGGCGCTCTTGACAAGATACCGTAAAGCACCAAGTTTGCCAATGACAAGATATCCAGGTAGACGTGAAATACTCTTCTTAAATATAGAAAAAAAAAAGAAATGTGTGGGTAGTGGGGGCAGTGTGTGTTTGTAGTACGGATCATCTCATTTCCTTTCTGGTGCTTTCTGTCTTTCCTCTCTGTGATTTCGAACGCTGTCCATTCTACTCTTTTTTGTTTTGTATTTTTCTTTCTTGTTTTCTTACCGTTAATGAAATTCTCTTTTTTTTTAATTGATTTGCACATCCTCAAAAATTGGTGCCATACACTGGAGAGGTCGTCTTTTCCTCTAAATATTCTTCTTCCCTAAACCTATTCTTTGTTTTTCGCTTTTTCGGTAGTGTTCCCGCGGTGGTGTGCCAATGGGCCGGTTCGTGCTTTCGCGTAGTGGAAGCGAATGCAAGGAGCATTTCCCCTGCTTTCTGTTTTGCGTGCAACTGAGCGCTGCGTTGCATCTTCTCTTTCCGACTGACTCTCGTAACGCTGATAGGGAGATTTTGTATCTGGTGTAAAGCTGACGAGCTGAACAGAAGAAACAGCAAAACAGGAGATGAAGTCTACCCGGTTTCTCACGCGCATTCTTGACTGTCTAAAGACATATTTTTCCCACGCTCGTAGGCATGAAGGGGGGCGGCAAGCGGAAGCAGAAATCGAGCTCTTTGTGCATCTTTTATTTCGTGTTTTTGAGAAAAGGAAAAACAACAGCAGTACTCTTCGCTGCACTCGCACGTAGTGGAGATACACGCACGTCGGGGAGCGGAGGCGAACATCACCGTCAAACTATACAGCCGTGTTGTAAGCCATTCGACATCGTGTCGTAGTGTGTTTTCAAGGGGGAGCGTACAAACAAACAGACAACACATAACCAAAGACACTGGCATTGTTGGATCTGTACTGTGTATGGATCCCTCTTTCTGTTGAAGGAGTTTCTCTTTTCGATGACTCCCACCTCTCTTTTTTTTTCCGTGGCGCTTCTTTTATCCGCTCATATCAGGTTCTCTGAGTCACGCAACCTTCCCCCCTCCCCTAACCGCTCGGACGAGGCTTTTGCTACTTCTTTCTTTCCTCTTCATTTGTTTTCTGGCAATCATATTTTGTTATGGCTCTTTCCTTTTCTTTCTTTTCGAGTTAATTTTTTCTTCCTTTATTTCGCTGCTGAAACGCGACTTTCATGTAAAGAGAGTCTAGAGAGAAGTGAGTGAGTGGACCGCTGAGTAAGTTGCTGCGTAGAAGGTTTTTTCTTTTTCTTTTTTCCAAACCACTGCACTTTTGTTTAGACTGGTGTGTGGGAAAAAGAGAAGCTATATTGTCGACTGTACCTCGTTAGTGGCGGTATCTCGTTCATTCCGTCGAAGGGAAACCAAAAGTTTAAAAAAGGGCAATTCGGCCACGGCCGTGTCAGATGCGCCCTTTTTTTCATTTATTGCAATGAGCAAAGCTAATAATGCCCCCCCCCCCCCCCCCCACCCCCCTCCTTGTTGTTCTTCTCTACTCTCCATGTCCTGCCAGAAACGCAGCGACTACAGTTGATCACTTGGGCATAAAAATGGAATGACAAGTATAACTACAGTAATTGTCGAAGGGAGAGAGGGAGGGAGTCAGCGCGACACAAGCACATAGATTTTTTTTTTTATATACCTGTGCTGGGCGTGTTCGTTCTCGTCCCTGTGCTTGTTGCCACTCGGTGCGTTCTCTATGGTGAACAGCGAGTGATGTCTTACCACAATATTGTTTTTTCATGGGTGCTTGTTTGCTTCGCTTTTGTTCTTCTTAATACTGTCTTGCTCCTCTTTTTTCTTCTGTCTCTCCCGTGCTGGTCGACTTTGAACTGTCGCTTCGTTTCGTTTTTTTCTTCTTTGGTAATTTAAAAAAAAATCGGTAGAAGTATTTTCTCTTTTTATTGTTGTTGTGATTGAATTGAACGGGGACTAATAAAAAAAAAGATAATACACTTTGTTTTTTTTTCTCTTCGGTAAATGATGCTGTTTCTTTTCATATTTGTCGGCCTAACACTATAAGAAAAAAAAACGGGGAACTAAAGAAATAGATGATGTTGACTGGTAGCCGAGGCTAAAAATACCGGAGTAAGGAAAATGCACGGCAGGACTTTGTTGTGCTTGCAGCTGAGTGCGGCGTCGACATTCCATCAACGCAATTATTGTAAGATAATTGAGAGAAGAAGGAAGGTTAACCAAATAGCAACTATTTTTGTTTTTCTGTTTTGATCTTTCTTCTTCTCTGTTTCGCGTTCTTTACGCCTTTCTTTCCATGGGAAATGAAGGGACAATAACGCATGTATGTTTTTGTCTACTACTTTCTTTTAAACTTCTGTGCTGGGTTGCGTCTGGTGTATATCTGCAAATTTAAGTTGCAAAGAAGAAAAGAATGTTTTTCATTTACCAAAAAAAAAAACACGAAGCAGTATTCTGTCCGATGTTTTTTTTCTTCTCTTTTTTTGCCTGAATAATTTGCTGTGTGTTCAACTGGGTTGGGCAGCAGCGCTTGTGCCAGTTGTGTGGAGGACGGTTCCGTGTCGATCGTCCAGTGAACTCCCCGCTTCGACTTGCAGCGTCTGATGCCGTTGCGTAACGAGAGGTTGCATCGCACCGGCGGCCTCTTGGTAAGTCGATCTCCGCGTGATCATCCACGTTGGCTGTTTTTCCTCTGCACAGACGCCCCCCTTCCCCTCTCCACAGATACGTTCCTGTGAAGTACAATTCCATGCCGCACTCTTCCTCACCTTTTCGCTTGCCTTTTTTCCGCGTCTTTTCACCTTTGGGATTGTCTCTTTTGGGCCTCACACACCGCGGCTACGTGGATCTTCTTCCTTTTTTCGTCGTAACCGGTGCTGTCGTCACCCCCTCCCCGTTTCCACACACACACACACACACGCAAGTGCGTCTGGCTAGTGGATAAGTCTCAAACGCCGCACCGTTGCATTTCGTCTCGTTTATCTCGTTTTCGGTTTCCTTTCCTATTTCGCCCCCACTACATACTTTTTTTTTCTCTCCGAGCGTGTTAACTGCAAAACCCTCTTTTTTTGCCCTCTATATTGCTCCTTTCGTGTGCACAATAATACTGTACCTTGCTTGTCTGCACGGTCGAACCGCAGTCATGGCGTCCAGGTGTGACCGCGTCGCCCTGCAGTGCATCTCCGGCAAGAGCGTGGAGCTGCCCTTCCCTGTCACCTTCAAGGCGGTCTTGGCGGCCGCCGTGGCACCACCGTTTTCCTTCACGCCGGAGTCCGTCAAAGTCCACACCCGCGGCGGCCTCATCAACGTTCAGCGCTACGTGCAGCAGCACCCAACCGAAAAAGACGGCGGTGTTCTTGACGAGTCCGCCTTCACCGTGGCAGCGACATCTACCACCAAGTCAGCCGGGCTGAAGGGCGGCGAGTCGTTAGCGCTTTTGCCGACTTCCCACGCGGCGCCGTCGGCGGCAGGCCGCGGCCACAATGGACTCAGGCGCTCGCTCATTATCTACGGTGTGCCGCGGCGCGTGAGGGCCCTGCTCAACGGAACACCGCTGGAGGGTACGCCGAGTCCTTTGTCTTCCGCTGCCGCCCCGGCGTCTTCGTCTGCACCTTTCACCCCGAAGACCGCCGTTCCGAAAAGGGAATTGGTCAGTGACATCTCAGCTTCGCACACCAGTGATCCACGCACCGCCGCTGCCGCCGTTGTTGTTCCTGCCCGACCGGTCAAAGGCCACCCATCCGCAAAGCGCAATGTAATGCGGTCCCCGCTGCCGTACCCGCACAGCCCCGACGGCCTGCTGGAGCTCGCCAAGGCGGTCTCCGAGCCGGGCCCGGCGGCAGACGAGGACGAGGATGATATCATCTCCTACCTGCAAGGCGCCCCGCCGCGGGTGTACAACCACCCGACCATGATCTACCTCTCGAACGAGGTGAAGGGGAACTTGACGATGCTGCGCGCCGCGATGGAGCAGATCTACCGCGTGGCACCGGTCTTCTACGCGTGGATCGAGGCGAACCCGCAGGACTTTTTAAGTGCGCTGAACCGCGTCGGCGAGCGCTCGCTGCAGCACGTGCGGGAGCAGCTCCGCCTGCTGGCCATGCAAGCCGTAGCCGGGCAGATGAGCGGGGACGGCCCGAGCCGACGAGTGATGATGCTGGAGGTCAACACGCGCGACGGGGCGCAGGATTTGTATCAGTTGGAGGTGCAGGTGGGCGACTTTTCGGACGATGACGACGAGGAAGAAGATGACTCCGCGTCGACGAGTGAGTCGTTGTACTACACCAGCGCGGAGCCGAGCGAGGAGCTAGACTACGATGACGAGGTGGATGCAGAGGAGGTGGAGGAGGAGGATCGTCGACGTGCGGTCGACGCCAGCAACACGGATAGTGGCATGGAGGTGGACGAGAGCGGGAAAGAGGAAACGAGAGATGAGGAGACCGCGGGTGCGCTCCAGTACCCCAGAGCTGTCGTCGTCGGCGCAGATGGCGGGCGAACCACGAACGGGGTTGTGGCCGAGGCAGAGGCGGAGGGCGACAGCGCGCCTCATCGAGGCGCCATTCTCTTGCCACCAGTGGACAGCGCAGCTGGCGCTGCAGACACAGCCACCGCTACGGAATCGCCGACGCAGAGCGCGTCGACAGCCACGCCGGCGCCCCCGCCTGGCCACAGTCCTGCGCGCACGTGGCGCCACTCTCCCCCGCCTCCGTCTGCTGCGGCTGTGGTTGCGGAATCAGGCCCCACCGCAGCGGGAGGGGCTTCTACGGCAGCGGAAAACATGGCGGCGGCTCCGCAGGATGATGACCGCCTTGTCCAGTTGCGCGAGGAGGCGTGTGTGGTGGAGGCGCTGCGCCACGAGTACGTGCGCCAAAGCGACGACCTCGCTGCCCAGAAGACCCACAAAGCCATCATGGCTCTCCGGCGTAAAATGTTCGCTGTTGTGGGGGAGCTGTGCAACGACATCTCGTCTTCCGCGTTTTCTTATTCTTCCGGGTCTGCGGCAACGGCGGAGCAGCACGTGAATCTGCTGCGCCGTGTGGTGCGGTGCGCGTGCGAATTCTTTGTCACCGCCGAGGAGTTCTACGCGCAGCTGGAGGAGGAGGGCGTTCGCGCCTCCGTCTTTGGGCCGTCGCCGCAGGAGTCGCTCGCTGCGTGGGCTGCCGTGGCCGCGCTGAGCCGGCTGCTGATGTGTGACGTCGACGCGGCTGGTCAGGCGGCGGTGGCGAGTGCGGCCGCAGCTGCCGTGGCCGGTCCTCGCCGCGTCGGGGCCCTTCGCTCCCTTCACACCGCCAACGCCTTTTGGTCCACGCCGGCGCTTCACTGGGCTCTTACGTGCGGCCCCGAGGTGCTGCTCGCCTCCATGTTGCAGCTGTGTCGGCAGCAGCGGGCGGTGATGGTGTGGTACAGCAGCCACTACCTTGTGAAGGCGGTCGGCAAGACGATTCAAACAATGGCCTACGTCTTTGGCGGCGCGGAGGAGGCGCAGCAACCGGTGGCGCTGCAGCGGCTGAAGATGACGAGCAAAGCGCACAAGCTAGATGAAGTGGCGGACTGTCTGCGTGAGTTGTCCCTCGGCAGCGCGTTCTTGTCCAGCTCTGGCAGTGGTGGTGATCCGAGCGGGTCGGCGGCGCAAGACAGCGCACGTCGTCAGTGGTTTTGGTTGATGCGCACCCGCTATCAGATGCTGGTGCGGCCCATCGAGGGCGACCTCCCCGCACCGCACATGACCTCCAACACCTTGTACGTCTGTGACACCCGTCAAGTCTTGCCTCCGCGGGAGACGATGGACGACCGAGGCCGCTGCTCACTGGACAGCGCCGCGCGGTGGTGGGCGGCGTACTGTGACGACCACAACACGATGTGCGCAGATAAGTGGTGTGTGGCGGCGACGTTGCGGCCGTGGAACGCCGCTGTGGCGTCGGAGAACGCACCGAATTTGAGCCCGGTGGAGAAAACAGCTGTTTGCCTTGTTAGCCAAACGGGCAACTCGAAGTCAAGTGAGGAGTCGGTGTCCGTCTTGCGCGGCCTCTTTCCAACTGAAATCGTCGTCACCGGCGACGCTTCTTCTTCCTCCACTTCTACTTCCTCTGCTTCTTCGGCAACGGCGCGCCATGCAGCGGTGCTGCACGAGGTGGCTGACGCATCGTCATCGGCCGCATCGACGGAGGCTCAAACATGCAACCTCAAAACGTCGTCCCCACACGGCTTGTCCCCGCATTTTATGGGTGATATCCACGTCGTGGACGTCGCGACGAGCAGCGTTGCGGACCCCTCGCCGCCGGTCATCTTGCGGCTGGCAGGCGGAGCGGAGCTGCAAACGTACCTCACCACCGTCGCACGCAATTATCTGCTGCCCACCGCCGCGCACCGCTCCGTTTTTCTCCGTCAGTTTTTCGGGCTCTTCGCCCGCCACCAGCAAATTCCTGCCGCCGCTGCCGCGCGACAGGCCGCACTGGCCAACGCCAGCGCCAACGACGCCCCGTGGCTCGTGTGCGAGTACGTCCTGCTGGACTACGGTGGCGCGATTCACAGCATCGCTTCTCCAGCCCCGGCGGCCGCCGCCGTCTCCGCGAGGCCCGTAGCCAACGATTCGACTGCAGAGGAGGGTGTAACGAGGGACGACTTTGTGCAAATGCCCGTTGTGCCGCTGAGCCATCGTTTGTCAGAGCCACGGCCCATCTCGGTCGTCAGCCGCGGGCGGACTACCTCCGTCGCGGACGGCGAGGGCCGCGCGGTGTTGCGCACCACCACCGTCACCACCGCGGCGGAGGAAGACGCGGCGAAGCGGCGGTACGCCCGCACACACGCGATTGACGAGCTGTACGAGATGATGCTGGGCAGTCTTCTAGAGCACCAGCCGACAGGAGAGGAGAACGTGCTCGACCACCTGGTAAACTACCTGGAGGCGTCGGAAGACACGATGCAAGAGAAGGTGCGGCGTCGGCAGGCCGAGACGGCAGGGGCGGCGGCGGTGGTGGAGGCAACGGCAGCGGCCGCTGCTGCACCGACTGGGGCTTTCCCCTCCCCGCAGCCGCCGAGCACGACGCGCAACACGAAGGGGCGGCCCTCTCTTCAGCGTAGAAAATATTCCTCCTAAAAGGAAATAACGTGGACGGGGGGAAGTAGCACAACAGTCTATTATTATTATTATTGACGTTATTGTTGTTGATATCGTTGTTGGAAGCGAAAATCAGCTTTTGCGCAGTGAGGCACAGAACAACGTGTAACGTGCTGGGTTATCTGTTGCCCCTCATGGCGGATTGGACGCCTTTTCACGATCAGATCAAGGGATCTCAACTTCACTCACGCTCACACTTGCAAATCAAAAAGTCCTTTTTCTTTCTGTACCTTTCTTCTGTATTGTTCTTTTCTATTTGTATGTATTGCGCTGCTATCTGTTTGTATGTGAAAAGAGAACACAGAGTACAAGGAAATGGAGGGTTGGCAAACAGCCCTCCAAAACTCTTTAGATGTATTTATTTCTACCTTTGAACTTCACTTTGTTGTTCGTGTACGTGTTTGTGCATGTATGTCTGCTCGGATGAAAGGGAGGAATAAACCAGCTAAGAAAGCGGGACATTAAAACAACCACCAAAATGGATGTGTTTGGCAACCGTTCCACTTAGGCGGGCGCGTGTTGCCGGCTCGCTGCTTTTCTGCTCTTTTCTACTTGCAAAACTCACATACGTCCCCGCACGCACCCAAACACATCCAAACAAAAAACTGATCTACTGCTCTTTTGCGTAATCGATTGCCATCACTGAGAGACGTCTTACTTTTCTTGAACTGTGCTACAGGTAGACAGGCATTTGTCCATCTCCTTTATCATCGATTTCTTTCCGTGCCTTCTGCGATCACCACAACACCAATTGGACGTTGCGAGTAAAAGAAACAACGGAGGGGGAAAAAGAGGGCCTCCCTCGAAAAATATGAAAGAGGATAACAATGATCTATTGGATGCTGACTTTCGATCATCCAAGAAGAAAAACCTCTTCCCTGTTCTCGTGGTTTTAACGGTAAACGCGACCTCCAGCGCTTTGCGACGTCATTGCCGCGTCTTGGGACTACGTTGGTTTGTTTCTACGCAGCCGCGCACGACGTAAAGCGCAAAGGAAGCAAGTAACAATCTTCGCCGAATAGAATGAATTCCAAATTTAGTTGCAAGAAGCCTACTTGTCAGGCCTCGTTTTTACTCCATGTCGCACTGTTCTCTTTTCTCTTTGTTATCTTGTCTTTATTCGCTTTTTTGCCTTCACACGTTACATCGCAGAGGTTGTGTCTTTTGGAAAGCGTTTTTACATATTCGTACGTGACGTAGACGGTGTTTCTCTCTCCTTTTTTTTGTTTTTCTGTGTGGAGCTCGCGTAGTCGCAACAGCTCATTTAAGGCGTTCATCACTGCATCTCTTACAAACGTCTTTACATTTGTCTACTTAGATTTCTTTCCTCTTGTCTTCATTTGCGTTTTGGGTTTTTCATTCCGTGTGTTGTTCCCAACCTTTTTGTCTCTTCCTTGACGGCTCCCCTTTCCTATTGCACGTACCTGCACGAGACCCGATGTAATGAGCTGCTACACATTTGGCTTCGAGACGATGAGGCCCGAACATGTCTCGCCGCTGCATGAATCAAGCACTGGGGTGCACAATGCACTACATACCAATGACAAGGTGCGGAGTGGTGACAGAAGCGCCTCTGCGAGTCCGTCGCATGCATCCGCTGCGCCGTCTTTCATTTTCACTGTGGACGGTAGCCGCCTCCTCACGCCACACGCCGCAACACCGCACGCGAGGCGAACGGACAACGCAAATCATAATCTTAGCAGACACGCATCACGGAACATCCATGACAGTGATCACAGCAGTTTTGTGGGCGGCAAGGGTTCGGAGGCTGGTGGAAATCGACAAGGAGGTCGCCCGCCTATATCGGTGTCAAATGCACTGTCAGGTACGCTGCCACCCGCCGCGGCGACGCCTCCCTTCAACGTGCGCGGCGTAAGCTGCGTCACACGAGGGTCGAAAACCGAAGCCGCTGCTGCTGCCGTCGCCGTTACGCGTCCAGCGAGTGCGGGTGGGCCATCGCTCACGTCTTCCACCAAACGCCCCTACGTCATACCGGCCTCCCCGTCGCAGACGAAGCCGCGCTTCAACAACTACGTAATAGGGCAGTCCGCCGCGACGGGCGGCAGAGTAGCCGCACTAAGCCAGCGGCCTCCGCGTGTGCCAGCGGCCGCGGCGGCAACCACCGCCCCATTACAGTCGGCGGCCGTTTCGCAGGGCACCGCGTCGTCACTAAAGCGCTCCTCGTCGTCCGACGCCGTTGCCGTTGCCCCCGCGTGTGGAAAGGACGCACCGCCACTTTCTAGCGAAGGCAAAGCGAATGCGACACCACCACCAGCGACAAGTGAAGACGCAGCACCTCTGACCGAGGAGGCCCACACACCTCGCACGACCGCTGCCTCCGTCACTTCTCAACTGCCGCCTGCAGGTTCCGCATCTGCCTCGGCGCGGCCGTTGCTGCGTCGCCTACCTCTTCACACGACCTCCAACGGGACCACAGTGTTCGGAACGACAACAGAGTCCGCGCAGGACGAGACATCGAGTGCATCGGACACAGGCAACGGCTCCGCTGCGCCTAAGTGTGTTGCCGTCGATCGTGCCAGCGTCTCGCCGGAGACAACCAATGGCCATGTGAGACGACCACACATTCCGCCTGTACATATGACGCGCACGTTTGCTTTACGACGACCGGTGTTGTTGACGAAGGACACCTCCGCCGCGGCTGCAGTCGCAACATCGGGGAGCCGCAAGAGCACACCACGTGCGGCTCCGGGCGAGGCAGCGTTAGAGAAGAATTCGGAGTCTCCGCCCGCGAATCGTCCTGCGTACGTGTCGGAGCGGCGCCGGCCATCATCGTCGTTGTCGTGCAGCGCCACGCGTTTTCTCGCCTACGCGCCCGTCCCTCCACCCCCGTCATCCAGCCAGCCGCGGCGGTCACGCAGAACGTCGCTGGCCTCCATGACGAGCAACTCGTCCACCTCGCTTCATCAGCACCGGCTGTCCGTGGCCGAGGAAGCTGCGGCGACGCGCCTCTTTTTTTATCCGATGGTGTCGCTCACCGAGGCGCAAACTGACGACGCAGAGAACCGTAAAGCCGACGCGGAGAGCGGCGCTGCTGCGTGCGACGCCGTCGCGAAGTCCTCGCATGAGCCAGCGGCAGTGACCAATGGAGATGGTTCGTCGTCGGGGCTGGCCACGAGAACAAGCAGCGTCAGCGTCACCAGCCTACCACGCCGAAGTGACACCGACCACCAGCCGCCGCAGCAGCCGCGTCGCTCCTCGCGCCATTTGCCGGGCGCATATGAGCCGTCACACGGCGTCGTCGAGCGACTGCGAGAGAGGGGGAATGCATTCATGATGCGTGAAGAGTTTTCCCAGGCGATTGCCACCTACAGCGAGGGCATTCGACTCGCGCCGAGCTGCGACGCCTTGTGGGGCAACCGCGCCGCAGCGCTTTTGCTCACGTTTCGGTACCTCCCCGCCGTTGCGGACTGCCTCTACGTGCTAAGTGTAAAGCCCGGAAACGTGAAGGCGTACTGGCGAGCCGCAAAAGCCTACGCAGCGGCGTACCGGTTCCTCGACGCCAAGAAGTACTATTTGCTGGCGCAGCAGGCGTGCATGCAGGAGCGTGGCCGGCTGCACTCCGTGCCCTCGGATGGCCTCAGCTTCTCCAACGGCGGCCTCAACGTTGACTCCGGTTGCGGCGGGGTGCCTGCGGGGCGGCCGCGGACGAGCAGAAACAGCAGCGGCAGTGGCAACGACCCACAGGACGGCAACAAGCAAGACAAGGCGGCCAGGGAGCGGCAGTCCATCGCTGCGGAAAGGGCGGCGGTGGAGATAGTGGAGCAGTACTGGCAACACGTGCGGGGAGAGCGGTGGCCGGAGGCGGTGGCGGTGATCGACAGGATCCTTGCCACCCCCAGCTACACCGGCCCCACCGCAGTGTCGTGGCGGGCCCTTCGGCTGGAGGCGCTTCTGCCGACGCAGCCGAAGATCGCGATGGCCGAAGCCGACGCCCTCCACCGCAAGTATCCCGACGCGCTGGAGCTCCACTACGTCCTCGCCAAGGCGCTCTTCTACACCATGCAAGACGCCGCGAGCACGAGGAAGTGTTTGCAGCTGCTGGACGAGGCCACCGCGAAGCGAAGTACGCAGAACACGATGCTGAACACGCACGTCCGCTACGCCGTGATGCAGCTGCGTGACAACCTGCTCGGCGAGGGCGGCGACACCGCGGCCGTGCAGCTGGAGGCGTGGGCACGACGGAACCAGCTGCGGGACGACAGCCGCGTCGCCGAGCTGCGACACACCATTGACAAATTCGCGCACCGGCGCGACCAGGGTAACAGCGCGTACGACAAGGGCAACTGGGACGCCGCGGCGGCCGCCTACACGCAATGCCTCCAAACGGACCGCCTGAACCACGCCCTACTCGCCGCCGTGTACTGCAATCGGACCGCCGTGTACATGCAGGCGGGTCGTTGGCGGGAGGCTCTGAGTGATGCCGACTCCGCCATCCAGCTGAGCCCGCACCTCGCCACGGCCTACAGCAGACGTGGCCGCATCCTGCTCTACCTGCTGTCACAGGAGTACGAGGCGCAGCGGGCCGTGCTGGCGCGTCACTTCACTACGCAGTGGTCGACCGCGGTGAAGGAGCAGCTCATGCGGTACGCCGATGCCGCCGTGGCTGACCTGTCCCGGGCGGTGGAGCTGTCCCCAGCGGCAGAACTCAGGAGTCAGCTGCAGCAGGCGCTGGCACAGCGGCAGACCGTGAAGGCGGCCTTGTGCGCGCCGCAGCCGGGCAACGCAAGGCAAGGCCGTTCGACGTCTTTCTCCTCTTCAGGGCAGGCGTTCCCGCGCACTGGCAACGGCAGTGCCAACGGACCTGCTCACCAGCGCAGTTACGCGGGCTCCCGACCGGCGTCTGCAACGTCGGCGGGTTGTGTGCTACAACAGCATCTGCAGCTGCTCGGTGTGAAGAGCAGCGACGCGACTGCGGGCGTACTCCCGGACTTCAAGGTCGTTTCTAAGGCTTACCGCGAGTCCGCCCTGCGCTGGCACCCGGACAAGTGGGTCACGTCGACTCCGCAGGAGCGGCAGGAGGCGGAGCGGCAGTTTAAGATGATCTCCGTCGCGTACACCTTCCTTCGAGAGCGGTACAATGATAGAACAGTGACATCGTGATCCTCAAGGGAATGCGATGTCGCAATGTTTTCTTTGAGTGTGTGTTGTCTTCGCGATGAAGCCGAAGCGTGCGGTGATATTAATAAATATATATATATATATATATCTTCTCTTAAAAACGCCCTTTGTTTTCTGTGTTCGGAGCTGCTGTTATTAGAATTACTACTATTTTACCTTGTGAGGTCACTGAAGTCGTCTGTAGAGGGACTTTTCACGCTAATTGTTTTATTTTTTTCTTCTTCCATCTTTCTGCTGATGTTGGAACTACTCCTCGGTTTTCGTATAACTATTACTGTTATCATTATGGAAATCATTAAGTCAGCAAACCTGGTCGGACCCCAGTAAACCCTTTTTCTTTTCTTTTTCTTCTTTGTTGTTAGACGAGTGCGTCAGGCACCGAATCGAAGTTGCTTTCATCATACATATATATATATATATATTGATATATTTCCTCTCTCTTTTCAGATGTATGTGCGCGTGCATCCGAACTTGTGGTGCGTTCGAATTCTTCTTCCCGCTATTTCCCTTATTCCATCCCTTTTTTTTTTTTCGGGTCCTCGATGAAGAACTTCTCCGTCTCTCGCAAGCACGGGTGGAAAAGACTTACACTCCACGACAAGAAAACATATGTATTTGGAAATAGACATGTGACGTTCATTAGCTGGGCAACGCAACCAATGCTCTGTCTTCAGCTGAAACTGAAAAAGTAATGCTGCAACCCTCCGTTGTAAATGCGTACAAAAGAAATCCCAACCCCCTTCAATGGAATAAAACGTTGCCGGTGAAGCTCTTTGCTATTCATCTTTCCTTTTCCTTCTCACCCCTTGACTCTCGCCTCTTGGTGTGGGGAGTACCTCTCCATGGTGAACACAGTTATCATCACTGCATCGCATCTTTTTTTTATTGTTTGAATTCCTTTCTGAGCTCTTACAAATTAGAAGGCGAAAAGCAGACAGAAATGGACTCGTTTAGCACCTACCTCGATCACCTCATTTTACTCCTTGCCGCACGCTTCCAGGCCCCGCTGGAGGTGTCAACGGAGGAGCTGCTCACGCCTGTGAATGGGTCGGCAGTGACCGATCCATGGGAGCTGGTGTCGCGCACTGTGCAACTGAATCTCTGCAGCCCGCAAACGGAGCAGGAGCGTCTCTACACGCGTCAGCTGGACGTGCATAACTTCTCCGCTGCTGTCTGCCGTGAACGGGCGCGGTACGTGCAATGGAAACTGAGCGCAGACCAAAAGCGGAGCCGGGACGAGCGCTGCAGCACCCAGATCTCGACACCGGCCGTCCCCTCAGCAAGTGCGGCGCCGGTGACGACGCTCGCTGCGGCTAGCGCGAAATCTGCCGTTGCAGTGGGCGGAAATGCCAGCACCTTTGACGTCACCCGCGACTCGCTTCAACGCGACGTCTCTGCCTTGTATGCACTCGTGCGCCAATCTCTGCCCTCCGCGCTCGATGATGACACCGCTGATGTGGAGAGCGACGAAGAGAATGGACAGGCGACGGCGACTGCATCGGCCATTCCAGTAGCTTCAACCACCACCACCACCACCACGGCAGCGCCGTCCCCCTTCGCTGCGCAAGTGCACGAGGTCGTTGTCCGCACAGCTGAGGAACGCCACCGCGATGAGCAGGCGGCCCGCGCGCGTGACGAGTTCCTTTCACAGATTCAGGCACTGCAATCCGTCTACTTCAACAAGTACCGTCGTTGGTTGGAGGTGCCGGAAAACGTGCTGGACCCACCATCGCCCCTGCAGCGGGCAGCCGCAACGTCGTCTGCCATTTCATCCCGTCAGTCCTCCGTCTCGGTGAGGGGGAGCGAGGCGGCAGCCGCTGCTGCGACGATAGCGGCGCGGAGGTCTGTGAACGGCGTCGGTTCGTTCAACAAGCACTGCGAAGAGAACGAGCGGGCAGACCTGCTGGAGGCGTTGAAGCTGACCCGCCCTGAGCGACCAGCGCCTCGGCCGGTGCCTTCCGCCTCTCCCCCGGCATTCAACGTGAGGGCCGGTGTGCACCCGACCATTGCGGCGATGCGACGCCAGGTACAGCTGCAGCGCCCACTGCGCCCGTCAGCCGTCTCCGCGGGTGTTGAGGATGGTGGGGATCGCACATCCGCCGACTCTCAGGAGATGCGCCAGAGCTCCGGTTACACCGGGGCACCAGCGAAAACCTTGATGCGGCCTGCGGTCTCGTCCGTCGCCACCGATGGAGCTTCAGCGGAACGTGGGGCGGCCGGTACAAAGCAGGCGGCTATGCGAATGAGCGCGGCGCCGAAAGACACAGCTCCGCCTGCGAGCCGGCGTGGTCGCTGGCAGATTGTGGAGTACGACGATGAAGGTGAGGAGGACGAGTAGTCTTTCCGGTGTAGAGCGCGAGTGTGGATTGTGGTTTCTACTCGGAGATCAAGGCGACGCGGTTGCCGGAGTTATGGGGCTCGCAATGCGTGCATTGTTTCCCCGTTGTTGCCGTCCCTTTCTTCTTCTTTTTTGTTTTCACTTCCCGTCGCGATTTCACGTTCTTCCGTTGTCAAAAAGATGTAAATAGATCAGTTTTGTTCTCGTATGCTTCCGCTTAAAAACTAAAAGAGACACCGACAGTGTGTGTGTGTGTGTGCGTGTGTAGAGGTCTGTGCTACCGCGCGCCGGCTCTCGACAGCGCCATTGCTTAAGGGGTGGTGGTGGACGTATGAATAGCTGGCGCAGTCAGTGTTCTTGTGGAGCAGCTGCAGCCTGCGTAACGTGCGCACGTTTCAAGGGACAGGCACCCGAAGAAGAAGCGCAGAAAAATAAAAAGTTTGCGTCAGGGTCTTGGGAAGGAGCTTTTCGCTATACCTTTTCTTTTTTGAACTGTTCGCACGTGTTGGCTCTCATCAACGCCGCCAACCGTCGAGATGTAGTTTGCGGCGAGGAATGAGAAACCAATCGGATACGGATTTCCGCTCAGAAGGCGATTTTGTTTTCCTTTGTTTCAATCGTCTCTTCCTCTCGCCTGTGCTCCGGTTCCACGACGACATTCTCATCTCGTTTACGGCGCACACCTCTTCCTTCCTTCTTTCCTTGTATCGTTCTCTTTCTCTCTCTCTCTCTCCTCTTTGACGGCGAGGGAAAGCGTGAGGGGCGCTCGCTTCGTAGACTCTTGTCGCACCTCCTTTGTCGCAGATACTGTACTACTACATCCTCTTCAATTTGCCCTTTTCGACTTAGATTCATAGCTTCTTGATTTTCTTTATTAGAAACGCGTACAAACAGCTGTCCACCTTGACCGGTATGCACCGCCCTGGTGTTGACTACTGGGCCAACACCCATTCTCCCACACAGACGCCGCAGACAGTGCACATCCTGTCACGCCGATCCGCTGCTTCTTCGTCCTCCGGACCACCATCACTGTCGCGAACGTCTACGACCGACTTTTACATTCCCAGCGATGATGCACCTCAAGCAGGCGCGACATCGGGGCTCGCACACTGTGAGCCAATCGCGTCTCCATTGCCTTCTCACAACGGCTCGCTTCCCCCCGCCACTGCATCCTTTCCTCCCATGCGAGGGAATCTAACCCAACTGACAGAACTGGAGGCCGCCAAGAAACAGGTGGCTCAGCTGCAGCAGCAGCAGCGTCAGGAGGAAGAGCGAGTGCGCCGCATGCAGGCGACGTGGATGCGCGAGGGAGTCGAGTACGGCAACACTCTCCAAACGTTGCGGGCGTCGCTGGAGCGCGAGCACGCGCTGCGCACATCCGCGGAGCAGGAGCGACAATACGCCGTGCGCGAGGGGCAGCAGTTGCGCGTCGCCTTGCGCGCCGTGCTTGCCGAGCCGCCTTCCGCGAATGGAACGCCCAGCACTGACACAGCTCGAGGCACCGTACCGCTTGCACTGTACGAGGAGGCGCGCCGTCTTCTGGCGCGCTGCGAGCACACCTTTGCCGAACTTAAAATGCTGCAGCTGAGGGCCACCGATCCTGCGGGGCTGGAGCGTCTTCGCTGCTACGACGTGCCAGTGGTGGACGGCATACCCCCTGCGTGGCCGCTTGAGACTCCGCAGAAGGTCCGCAACGATGGTATGAGCAAGGAAGGAGACGTCCGTGATTCACCTTCGTCAACGATGCGGCAACAAGGCGGTAATGCCGTTTTGCGCACGCCAAAGTCAACCAAGGCTGCAGCGACTGCGACGCCACTAAGGGAAGAGACGCCGACAGGGCCGGACGTGTCTGCGCTGACGACGGTATCGCCTGATACCCCTTGCAGCCTCATCGCCCCGGATCACACAGCAAATACGTCCCCCACTCTCTATCATTCCGAGAGCTGTGCATCGCAGAAAAAGACAGCGGATGTCGAGATGCAATCAGCCGCACCTGTCTCGGCATCAACTGCAGCGCCACAGGTCATCAGTGCCGCTAACAACGATGCTGCTGGTGGTGCGCGACGCGTGCTGCTGAGCCCGCCGCTGTTTTCTTCTTCTGCTGATGTGGTCGATGCACCACAGGGGAAGCAAAAGGAGACAACCGAGACGCACACAGATGGAGGAGCGGACGCGGAGTGGTCGGGGCCGATGCATGAATTTGCCGCGGATGATGGTGCGCATGGGAGCGCAGCGGCGGCACCAACGACAATGGCCACCACCACGACCGTGGCGACCTCCACCAACGCGCGCGCCGCGCCATCAACTTCACGACTTCGTCCACAGCCCGGGGCAGTGTTGAGCGAGTTTGAGCGCGAGGACATCATCCGCGACACGGATCAGCTGATTCGGCAGCTCTCCCGCGAAACAATCGCCCTGGCAAGGAATGAAGGGGCACGCAGCAGTACGGACGTGGCTGCCTTGTGTCGCCGCCGTGGTCTGGACTACATCGACCCCATCTTCTTACCTGTCACGGAGACACTCGGCCTGGCCGCAGGTGGCTGCCGCGGCTACGACCCCGATGAGGGCAGCTCCTACATTGTGCAGTGGTGCACGCGGGATGCGTTTACGCCAGAAGGCCAGCGGCCGGCGCCGTTGCTGACGAGCGCTGGAATCGACCCGAACGCGCTGCGATGCGGGCGCTTAGGCGACACCGGCGTTGTCGCCGCCCTCGCCGCTCTTGCCGAGGCCGCGGGCGCCGTGACGAGCGTGTTGGCCAGCACCACGGCCGCGGAGGCTGAGAACGGGCTCTACGTTGTGTGGATGTGCGTACGGGGGTGGTGGATGCGGGTGACGGTGGATGCCTACCTGCCCTGCCTCTGCGAAGCGGATCAGACCGTCACCTTGTACGGCTGCCGCAACGTGGCGACCCACGAGTTGTGGGCCCCGATCTGTGAGAAGGCGCTGGCGAAGGTGTACGGCAGCTATCAGGCCCTCCCTCACCTCCCTGCCGATGTCGTGGTGGGCCACTTGACGGGTGGCCCGGTGGAGTGCTGGGAGTGGTGGCGGCGCAGCAGCGAGACCGCACTAGAGGAGATCGAGGCGGCCATCAACACGAGCGCACGCGGGGCCGGCATGGTGCTGCTCACCACGCACTCCGCGGCCGTCTTGCGGGGGGACTCGTCGAAGGCAAGCCTGGCGGGTGCACGGGCGGAGTACGAGCGCCTGGGTCTGCTGCCTGGCACTTCCTATCGTGTGCTGGCGGTGACGGAGAACGCGGATGGCGAAGCGGTGCTGCTCCTGCGCAACTGGACGACGGCCTCCTCCTCGAGCCGGGCGGGCGGAACAGCGCGGGTGGGGAACAAGGAGAGGGACTGTCGCGAAATGTCACCCCTGCGTGATGATGAGAGCACGAAGGGTCCGATGCTGGACTACGTGTCCAACAGAAGCGGTGCTGTGGTAGTACAGAATGACGGGAGCAGCTGTGCAAATGAAGGGTGTGTGTGGCTGAACTACACGAGACAAGTTCTCCCGCTCTTCGACCGGTGCCACACCTGCTTTGACTGCCGCCGCTTTCATGATGTCCGTTTTCCCGTTCACTTTTCCGGTTCTGCGCCTGCCGTACCGGCCGAGATGATCCGTGTGCGGGTGCAGGACCCGCGACGTCGGCGCAGCACACGCGGCGTGACACCCTGCCCTACGCGACTGTGGATCGGCTTGCATCAACCTGGCAGTCACGGCGAGGACTGTGATGCCCCAGCGGTTCCGTGGGCACTGAAGGTGACGCTGATTGGCCAGGAAGACGCCTCCTTGCTCTACGCCGGTCGAGGGAGCCACCGAAGTGATTATGGAGGCAGCGGGTTTGCTGCTGCTGCTGTGGCCGCTCCGCCACCACCCCTCACCCGACCAGCGCGCCGCTCCTATGTTCTGTCGGAGTCGTTTATGGGCGAGCCGCAGCCGCTTCCGGCGGTGTGGATGTACTTGGAGTTGGACGCGGACGACTTGGCACGAAGCGCGGGCACCAACAGCGATGAAGCCGGTGACGATGATGAAAGAGACAATAATGCAACGGTAATGGAGTTCTTTGTTGTGCCGCAGATGGAGCTCACCGGCACCGTTGCACAGGACAGTCGGGAAAGGGTGGCTGTTCGTGGTGGCGTGGAGGTCGATCGCAACCGCCGCGACAGTCCTTTGTCGAAAGGCTTCACACATAGACACACGCAAGAGGATGCAGAGGAGTTCTACGACGAAGCGAGGCCTGCGTGGTTGCGGCGTGACCTCGCCTCGTCTGTCACAATCGACAACGAGTTCTCGTTTGGGACTCGCACCACCGCCATTGTTGCGATCTTAGCAGAAGACCAAGACTGTGTGACGGTCGATGTCGTGCAGGCACCGGCGGAGCTGCGGGCTGCTCTCTACCATGACGTGGTGGACCGCATCGACTTCTCCGAATGCGCGCCGATGCCGTCTGGACGCGCAGATCGCTGTCGCAGACCTGCATCACCCAACAAGAGCATCGCTGCTGTCTCTAACAATGTGGAGGACGTGCGGTGTCAGGTGAACGGACGCTGTCTTCCGACTTTTTCGTGGTGAAAGCAAGAGAAGAGAAAGCAGGGCTACCCGCTCATGTACAGTGTCGGGTTTTTTTTTTTAACATTGCTCGATTTGGTGGAGGAACACAGCACCGGTAATAGGAGTACCTCGCCTACTGCGCGGACGCCTTCTATTTATTTGCTCGTTTACACATTCAGCGTGTGTAGCTGACGCCTCTCTGCTGCTGCTGCTGCTGCTTCAGCAACTTCGTTTCATCCCTCCCTCTCTCCCTCTCGCGAGCGCTCCGTGCTCTCGCATAGTGGATACATCTGCAGCAAGAAACGATCACTGTGAAGAAACGGCTAGTACTAAACTTGACGAGCGTCTTTTGCGGGGGTTGCGAGATGGATGCGCAAAGCACATCAGCTGGTGTGCTCTGCTGTCTATCATGCTTGTACTGCAGCTGACAAGCGAAGATTGTGCGCGTTCTACTACAAAGAAATCAGATGGGAAGAGTATCCATCGAAGCTTTCGTGTGTATCGTGCTGCGGCAGCTGCAGTTGTTGTTGCCCATCATCTCTTCTTCGTTCCATTGACTCATTTCCACGAGCGCCAGAGGGAAACAGCTGTACAAGTGAAAGGAAAGCAAAGCGTGATCCAGAAGCAGCAGGTATTGTAGCTGTCCGCAGCTTCTGCTCCTCCCACGCACACCAAAACAACGATACTCCTCAGTGCGCAGTTGAGCAGAGCACACTACTTTTAATTATACGTTCTTCTTTTAAAATCCTATCACCATGGCCGGCGGATACCAGCGGGTGAGAGGCCAGGTCATCTGCGGCTTCCAGCGCATGGAAAACTGTATTGCGCAGGAGGCGGAGATGCAGAAACCGAGCAGCACACGTGCGCTGTGGTGTGCCGTCGTCTTCTCGACGGTCATGATGCTTGTCGAGGCGGTCGGCGGCGTGATGTCCGGCAGTCTCGCGGTGCTCTGCGACGCGGTGCACATGCTGGCCGACGTCTTCACGATTCTCATCTCGCTCTTCGCGGCGTACGCGTCGACCTGGGAGGCGAGTGACCGCTACAGCTTTGCATGGCGCCGCGCGGAGGTGATCGGCGCACTAGCTTCAGTCTTCACGACATGGGCCCTCGTCGTGTGGATCACCATCAGCGCTTTTCAACGTATGCCACAGGTGCTGCTGTGCGCCAGGTACGAGGAGAGAATCGGCTGCGAGGTGCTGGAGACGCCGCTGATGCTGGGTCTTGGCTGCTTTGGCTTTGCAATGAACGTGCTGCTGACGAGCATTCTTTTCTGCGGCGGGGTACACGCCCACTCCCATGGTAGTTTATTCGCTCACGAGCACGACCACAGCCATGGCGGGCACGAACACGAGCACGAGCACGAGCACAGTCACACCCACGCTCACAGCCACGACGAGCACGGTCACAGCCACGCCATGGCGGAAGTAGGAGGCGAGCACATTCACGTCTCAGACGATCCGCATGATGCACAGGCCACGACGCGCGGCTCATTGAGTGTGCGGGCCAGCCGTCAATCGAACGCTGAGGCGCCACCGCAGGGGGCGATGAACCAACGTGCCGCCCTTCTCCACGTCTTCGGTGACTGCCTGCAGGCCCTCGGTGTCGTTGTCGCAGCTGAACTGACGTGGGCTGGCAACGAGTGGAAGCACAACACCTCTAGCACCGCCCACAGCTACTTCAACCTCGCCGACCCGCTGCTGTCTCTCGTGTTTGGCATCGTCACGATTAGCACGACGAGGCACCTGGTGAAGGAGACGTGGCAGATTTTAATGGAGCGGGTGCCGCCGATGCTGTCGTACGCCGACTTCGTGGACGAGATCCTGCTCGAGGACGCTGTGGACGAGGTTTTGGATTTTCACATTTGGATGGTAGGGCCGAGCTTGTCGATGCTGTGTGCAACGCTGAGCACCGCAGAGGAGCTGCCCCCGGTGGAGGCGCAGCGCCTGCTGGAGCGGCTGACCGATCGCTGCATGGAGATGGGAGTGCAGCACTGTACGTTTCAGGTAGAGTACAGCCAACACGCTCGTACCGAGGATGCACCGTTGGTGCACGACGGCAGCGGCAGCTAGTCGTGCAATGAAGCTGCCTTTCTCGTTGCCGTGACAAGTTCCGTTCGCTTAAACGTACCAGCACTGCATGTATTTTCAACATTCGTACCCGTGGATTCTCCAGTGCTGGGAAGTGTTTTCCTTCTCACTGCGGCGCCGATTTCACTCAGGTTCCATTTGTGGTCATGAGCAAGCTGAGGGTGCTATCGTTACAATACATACATAGATATATTCTTCCCCGATGCCCTTGTATGTGCTCACCTGCTTGTTTACCGCCCTTTTCAAAAAAGTAAAAGTAAAAAACGATAATAATCCTTTTTTAACGTTGACTTAACTGATTTTCGTGTGGTTTGGCTTTCATAACGGCCTGTGAAGAAGCTGTCCTTTTCTTTTTTCCCTTTCTCTTTCCTTGCACAGTCCCTTTTTTTTTTTGAAGGCTGTTTTGCCTCCTTTTCTTTTTCTTGCCTTTGCTGGTGTCATTACCCCTGACGATTTGCCTAGCCAACGTAAAGCCGTGTTGACGGCGAAGCGTCCTAGCGGCCAGGTGACAAGGAAAGAAGAAAAAAGAGTGAATCATATCTTCCTGTTTGGCAACGACTAGCATTGTGTAAGTTTCAACCCAAGAAGGGAAAAAAAAATAAGAGAAGCGAAAGGGAGTGTTTTTGTTTTTGCGTCTTTCTTCTTTCGGAGCTTCACTCTTTGTCTCCACGCATCATCTGCGTATTGTGCTCTCAAGTTGAGGGAGTATCGTTACCCTCGATCACTAGATTCTGTGCCGTCCGTCGCCTCCTTTTGTCTTTCCCCCCTCCTGCACTTTGTACCGCATATCTACCCTCTCCTTCTTTGTGTATGGGTTTACGGATGCAGGACGCTTCTCATTCAGTATATTGTTTTCAAGGGAGAGGTAAAACCGGAATCTGATCCGCGTAGAGGGCGAATGAGAGCCGGAGATGAACCAGCGCATCTGTGCCGTCCATAATCCCTCCTTTTCCCAGCCTCAAAAATAGCCGCATATAGCTACACACACCTTCCGATTCCGCTTCCACTTTGCATTCCTTTCCCGGTGACCTTGTATGACGTGACGAAGGCGTGCCGACCTCGGCCTCGTTTTGATTTTCACGTTGTTGTCGATGAATCGTGATGCGCCGCCGTCGCTCCGCTTTACGCGCCAGTGGACGCAGCCAACGGACTTGGAACACCAAACGCTGTCCAAAGTGGTGTACCCGCCACAACAGCTAGACTCCCCTTCCCCTTCCCCCCGCCGTCTCTCCCGCACACCTCTCTGCCCGTCTTCTTCGTCTCCTTTGCTGCCACAGCACCGCGGCAGTAGCACTCGGCCGACACGGCGGCCTCCCGCGGTGTCGTCCACGGCGTCTCCGCTGCCGACTCAACCGCCGCCCTCGCTTGCCGTGGGGGTCGACCGAACACCGCGCCGGGGAACGCCTTCTTTTACGTCTTCTCCTGTGCGAGGGGAAATGTCACGCCACGGTGAAGCGCCGGCGCGCGAGAGCGACGACGCGGGCCGGCTCTTCTGGCAGCAGCAAGCGCAACGCTTCAGGGAGGCGAATGCAGTTCTGCGACAGGAGTTGAATGCGGTGTATCGTGCGTTGAACGACACAGGGCAGCGCCGCTCAGAAACGGCCCCTGACGGAGGGGGAGCTGCGCTGTCCGACGCTGCATGGCACCACTTCGACGATCACCGTCCCCCCGCGCCTCACACGAACTCCACCGAGGACGCCCTCAGCTACGAGGCGGTAGTGCAGCAGCGCAACGTGGCGCGCATCGAGCTGGCACAGGAGCGAGAGAAAAACTTCCTACTTCGTCATCGCCTGCGAGAGTCGGAGATGGAGGTGGAGCGACTGGCGGGGCGCCTCCGTGGCGTGGGTGCAGCGCACAGCCGCCGCCGCCCCGCCCCGGCGCTGTACCCCGCTGCTTCCACCACCAGCGCGGCGGCAGCACCTGGAAAGGCGAAGGCACGACCACCCACCCGCTCACCGCCGCACCCATCCCCAACGCTACGGCGCTCTGACAGCCGCCGCGCCGCCTCTCCCTCTTCTTCGCCGACTTCTTCCGCCGAGTCGTCTACGTCTTCATCGCTTGTATCGGCGTCGCGCCGACGCAGAACGTCGTCCCCGCGCTCCCGAGGCATCACGCATCGTCAGTCCTCCAGTCGAAGCAACAGTAGCTGTGGACAGAGAAGCGACGGCGTCTCCTCTGTTGAGCGTAGCACTCGCACGGCGTTTTCTGGGGTTCCGCGTCTGTCGCGCGGCTACGCACGGATACAGCACAGAAGCGAGGCACCAGTTCGGCGCTCGTACTCGTCTTCATCTTCACGCAGCCATCGTACCGCGAAGCCACCCTCGCCCCTCGCCCCTGCACAGGAGGACGTGTTGAAGGCCGCTCCCTCATCCCTCTCGGCAAATCACCCCGTGGTGCCACAACGGGAATCGAAGGCGCGGGCGCTGTTGTCTTCCCTCCTCGCTGCCCACCCACCTTCCGCGCTGGAAGCCGCTTTCCGTCGCCATCAAGACCACGGCAACACCAAGGAAACAGTTCTCTCGGAGACGGTGTCAAGTGATGAGGCGAGTACACCGCGCTACATTTTCCGGAGTCGTCTCTTTGGAGAGGGAGATGCGGCACACGATGAAAATGCGTTGGTCACTCGTGATTCTTCCCGACTGCAAGAGGCAAGCCAGTTAGGAGTCCGCGAAGCCTACGTTGCCCGTCAGCTGCTCTCTCCCACCCCTCCATCGCGCTCAAGTCGATCGTCAGCGGAGATCGACGGAAGCACAAACGCGCTGGCGCAGCGTCTTTCAAGCAGCGGAGCGTGGATGCCTGTTTCCGTGACGACCGTGGAAGGTAGGACGAGCCGCGGCTTATCGTTGAGAGAGGAAATAAAAGGGGGCGTCGCGGAGCCGTCAACGTACCGCTCTTTCTCCTTCTAGATCTCGCCTTTTTTTCCCTGTTTCCTAGTCCTGCCGCGATAGACACGCACGCCGTCCGCTTTAAACGAAGAAGAGAGAAATGCACTCATACACACACTGTCCCGCCGCAGATACATATATATTGTTGTTTAAGGGGCGTGCGGAGCTTCACAAATGTGCTCAGGAAAATATCGCTGCCGTTTCCTTCCGCAAATCATGGAAGATAGAAACCGTTGCATTGGTCTCTTTCTCCTCCACCCCGCTTGTGATTCTTTCGTGCAAAAACAAAACTTGTGTCCCCAAAGGACACACACACACACACACACACACGCTTGTACGTCTATACATACGTATGTATATGCACTCCTTTGCGTTCCTCTTTCACGGCTCCTTTCTGCACCTTGAGCAACACACGTTTTCTTCCATTACAGCGAACTCTGCTTTCTTTGTTCGCGGCACACGCAAATAATGTCTTCATCTTCTGCGCTCGAAGTCCCTTTTATCGAGGTGATTTGCGGCTACCCCACGCGAGAGGCACTCTGCTGTGAGTGCCCTGCGCTGCTCTTTCTTGTGTACGAGCACATCGTTGCCGAGCTGCAGGGAGGCCGCCGCGCCTACGACCCATTCTACGGTACCGGGAGACAAGACAACTTGAGTGAGCTACTTGCGGCGCGCTCCGTGTCGGAAATATTTGAACGCCTTTACCCTGTGCCGCCCAGCCAACTCGGCGGCGCGGTGGACGCAGCTGCGACTGCACCGGGGGAGACACCCAATAGCCTTTTCTGGAAGCAGGCACGCACGGCACTCGAGGCAGCCTGGGCATCTCCCTATAACAAGGAAGCTCGAGTGCTGCTCACGCAGGTGCGCGGGCAGCCCCATTTTCACTTCACCGGCCCGCGCGACGACGTGACGCCTGGCAGCGGCTTCCCTCTTCACCCGGTATCGTTGGAGAGGGCCCTCACGACGAGCAAACGTTTCCTGCGTACGGCGACCACGTGCGCCTTAGACGGCTCCACCGATGCGCTGAAGGACGGACAGCAGGAGCTGCGCGCAGTGCTGCAGCTGGCGCGCCTCGTGCCTCACTCTTCTTCCTCCACGTCGATGCAGTCGTCGAAGGTGGTGACACCGGAGGGGCTAAATTTTTGCATGGTGTCGCTGCAGCAGAGGTGGTGGGTGCTGCTGAGTGCCGCCCTCGAGCGCGCGCTCTTTCTCGCACGCGGCAACGGCAACAGCGCTGTCGCTTCCACGGTCACCAAGCCGGTTCTTTGGCAGCTCTTGGCGGTGCTTGCGGTGTTGGACACCTCCCAGTACATTTTTGCCTTCCCGGATCGACAGCAGGACGCTGCTGGACATCACCTACTGGCCCGACTGGCGGAGGTGGGCCTGGTGTATCCGATGCTGAGCGATGACCGGCGCTGCTTTGTCATGAGTCCGGACTTTCTCCACGCCTTGCATTGGCACGCCAGTGCGCCGCTCTCGTTGACCTTCACACAGCAGCTTCTTCGCAGTGGTGGCGGTGGTGCTGCTGGCGGCGGCGGCGACGTGCGTCGCGAAGACGCGGATACGATCATAACCGAGACGAACTTCCGCCTCTACGCTTACACCGACGATCCTGATCTGCTGAACATCTTGAATCAATTCGCCGAGCTGGAGGAGGTGGTGGGCGCCAGCCTGTACTGCTACCGGGTCACACGTGACAGCTTCGCGGCAGCCATGCGCAAAGGCATCACCGCCACCCAGGTGCTGCGTTTTTTGTCGTTGCGGGCGCACCCGAGCATGCTGAAACGGTACGAGGAGCGGGGGCAGCCGCAGGTCGCATCGTCGAGCGGCGGTGCCGGGCAGCGGCGAGGGGGCCGACGCACGGCTGCTGCTGCCGTGGACGCCGTCGCGACGCTCGTCGTCCCGCAGTCCTTTTGTGATCAGTTGCGCATGTGGGAGAGTGAGTGCCGCCGTGTTGTCTTCGAACACCACGTGGCGTTGCTGCGGAACGTGTCGGCGGAGCAGCAGCAGGCGGTCACGCTGTATTTAACGGAGTCCGGAGAGGCGGATGCGATTGTGCACGCCGAGTCGGGTTACATGGTGCTGCGTGAGGAGGTGTTTGATCGCCTGATTGCACCTCTTTTGGGGTAGTACACACGATGGAAGAGGAAGATCAAGGAAGCTCAAGACTCTCCCGTTTTGTTATTATTATCAATACTTGTTATGAACCGTATTCGATGAAAGCGTGTTGGGACTTGCGCAACAGGAGAGAAGAAGAAATAACGAGTGTCAATGCAGCCGCATCGGGTTTTGACCTGCCTGCAGAAAGGCTGACATCGAAGTCGCGTAAGCAGAGCCGAGAATAAGGGGGAGTGTGTGCGTGTGTGTGTCGTTAACCCAAGGTGGTGTTTCCAGGAGTTCTGACTCGGAGGGTTTTTTATTTGTGTGTGTTTCTGGTCGGATCGTCGTCTTTTGTGGGTCCCCGACTCGCCGTACAGCACGCTGCAGAAGGTTCGTTAAAATTAAAAAAAAAAAGAAACCTCTCGCATTGCCATTCCATTTCCCCCCGTGGTGCTCTCTCACTTTCAATCGGGCGGATTCGCTCTCATTTCGCTTTCATACACGTGTGCATCCTGTTTTGTCTTTCTTCTTCGTTGATGTCATAATCAGTTCCGTACACCACCTCACACGAGGGGGTATTCGTGGAAAAAGAAGAAATGATGCGAAGAGGCGCCCCTGAGTGGTTCACGCAGGGCAAGACACGTGAACGCTTCCACCGGTACTGGCCGTGGGTGTTGAGCACCTTCTGCGCTGGTCTCTACCTCTACAACCGCGAGCCCTTCGAGGACGCTGCTAGCGCAATCGTGACGAAGATACGCCGGCCGCTTCTGCGGACGATGGAGTGGATCGAGCTGCACGATGTCGATCCGGAGACGATGGCCCTTGAGCTGCCGCCAGACATGCTCTTTGGCCCGCTGGAGTTCTCGAAGCAGATGCGCTTCCTCCTGGCCGCGTTGAAGGCGGACAACGAGCTGGCGGACGGGTACCTGGCGCGTGTCCTCATTGACCACATGGACCTCTCCTTCGACCCGCCCATCCTCTCCGAGAGTGAATTCCTCGCTGCGGGTGGGAAGGAGCTGCTGAACTTTAGCGTGGACGACTTCACCGGCACGGGCAGCCGCGCGCAGCGGAAGCACATCTTCTTCCAGCCCGATCAGTTTGTGCAGTTCATCAACGTCATTGCCGCGTACCCGACGCTGACAGAGTACTTCGTGCGGGAGAAGGACGGCGTGGATCTCGTGCTGCGTGCGTATCGCCACTCCAAGGAGCCGTACTCCCGCGTGATGGCGATGCGCTCGCTGGCGCTCTTTTCCTTTACGCAGCCGGTCGACGGCGCGGTGGAGAAGCAAATACTGCAGTGCAACGGTGTGAAGACGGTGGTGGACGCGTACAAGCAGAGCAGCGGCGACCCCACCGACACGCGCTTCCTGACGCTGCTGCTCTCCTCCCTCATGCGCCACTTCCCGAAGGAGGGCGGGAAGGAGTTTATCGACGCCGGGGGCGTGGAGGCGGCCGTGAACAACCTCAACATCGCGCGATACAAGGGTGTGCCGCAGCACCTGCGCGTGATTCACGATGCGCAGCGCCTCCCGTCGCAGGCGGTGGGGAAGGAGTCGGTGGACGCTCGATTGGAGGACGCGGACTTTCTTGGTGTCGCCATGGGGGTGCTCGATGCGTTCCCTGAGTACTATGAAGCAACAGGAGACTTGCTGAAGCTGGTGACGGAGGTGGTGCCCGCGCACGCACAGCCGTTAGAGCTGCTGGAGTACCGCGCGATGCCCATTCTGTCCAAGTACTACGTTAAATGGAAGGAAGACCAGAGTTTCCAGACGGACGGCACGCGAACCCTTGTGGCGAAACTGTTTGAGTTGATGCTGAATGACAAGACGTGCCAGCGGTGCTACGACCCCTCCGTGGCGTCGTACGAGCTGCAAGAGTGCATCAAGACGGCGAAGGTTGCGATCGAAGATGAGAAGGAGAAGCGGGTAACACTTAGTCCCGACGGCGCGTAAACAACGAATAAGGGGAAAAAACCCTTCCTGCAGTGGTGCAAGTAAGTGGCGGACGCCACGGTGCGAAGTGCGAAGCACTTTTCTAAATGTCACGTCGGCTGGTTCCCCCAAAGGAACGAAAAGGACGTACCACCTTTGGATAGTTGGCGGGCTGCCGTAGCCCCAAAGAAGGGAAAACTGTCTGTTGCACAGGTGTTTGTTGACGTTGTAGTTGCCATCCAAAAAAAGATGGGGAAATGAACGACAATGCCTCCGCATCGTGATGCTTCTCCTAGCATTCCTGGTTCTCTACGCGTTGCCTGCATTATGGAATTTGTTGGACACGGTTTTCACAGCTGAAGTACATACCAAAAACTAAACCTTAACAAAAGAAACGAAGGAAATAGGTGGCGGAAATGTGTTGTGCTGCGTCGTGGTACAATACCACGTGCACGTGTGCACTTTGCCGCGCAGCTGGACCTGTAAAAGAAAAGACAACGGATGCGTCGTTGCTGATGTATCGCATCGTTGTTGTGGTCTCGACCTGCTGAGTGTGGCCCACAGTTTTCGAAGGATGTTTAATACGCCTGGTCCTCTGAGGCTCATGGGGATAGCTCCACAGGCGTGTTGGATCCCCCTCTATTTCTGTACCGCTGCACTACATAGTTGCATTTTCATTTGTTTTTTTCTGCCTCACCCTTCTTACTCGCTTTTTGTTATTGCCTGTTTCCTCTGCGGTGGCCAACGTTCACGTTTCCATGGCCGCCAAAACAAACAAACAAAAGTGTTTGCTCTATCCGTCCGAAGCGGGGTGTACGCCTTTGTGTTTATCAGAAGGTGCTGAGGGTGAAGGAGATCACCATAATTTCGTTTTCCTCTCCTTATACACACACACACACAGTCTGTTTCGTTCAGCGTTGCGTTCCTTGTTGGGTGTAGAAGTTGATCCTTCTGAGGTACAATAATATACCCAAGTAGGTTTGGATCGTTGAAAAGTGATATAGCTAACATCAAAGATATACTTAACAAAAGGCTTTGAAAGCCAACCCTGTATTGAACCGTCCCCGACAAAAAAAACACAAAAGGCAAATGACGGAAGAGGAGGCCCGCATCGGGTATGCGAAGGAGCATAATATCCACCACCTCTTCGAACTCATGGCGACGAAGTTGTTGGTGAACCGCCCAGAGAATCCGTTTGCCTATCTACGCACGCTGCTGGAGGACGTGGAGCGAGGAGAAAAGAACAAGGCTTCGTACGACCCAACTCGCGTGCATTTCAACGACAGCAGGGAAACCTCCGCGGTGGGACTTGCCGGCAGCAGCGGTGCGGCCGAGCCACAGGCAGCAGACGGCGCCGCCGCCGCCGCCCCTTCTTCCTCTTCGAGCCACAAAAAAAAGGAAAAGAAGAACGTGACACTGGCGACCTTTGGCTTAGACGAGGCAGGCAAGACGTGTGCCCTCGCGGTGCTGGAAACCGGCGAGGCAGAGCCGCATTACTCGCCCACGGTCGGCTTTGCGCCGGTCAAGTTCCCGCTGGACGAGTACAATTTGTGCATCTTCGATCTGGGCGGGGCGGCGAACTTTCGTGGGATTTGGGTGCATTACTACCACGATGCGCACGGTATTGTGTACGTCATGGATTCTGCCGCTAGCGAGGAGCGGGTGGCGGAGTCGCTCAAGGTGCTGCAGGAGACGCTGCGCCATCCGTACGTGCAGGGGAAGCCACTGTTGGTGATGGCGAACAAGAAAGACCTGCCGGGGAGCCGTGGTGTTGATGTCGTGCCGCAGGGCTTTATTGAAGAGGCGATGGGCGACACGCCGGCCCCGTACCGCGTCATCGCGACGTGTGCCATTGAGGATGATCCTGCCCTGGTGGAGGGCATTGAGTGGTTACTGGACTGCGTGGCGAAGGACTACGAGGCACTGACCGCACGCGTCGCACGTGACTGCAAGACGGTAAAGGAGGAGAAGGATCGCCAGCGAGCGGAGCGGCTTGCAGCCATTCAGGGTGAATAGTTGCAGCTGTAGCGGACCTCACGCGCGACTTTCTTGCAGCTCGTTTTTCTTCCCACATGTGAGCCGGTGACGAACCTAGCAGGCACTCTTCCTTTTCTGTTGGTATTCTCAGTGCTCAATACCGTTGTACTGTATCATTTTTTTTTTCTTTTGAGGGATGCCATCTAACCTCCTTTTGTGTTGACTTGATAGACGATCACAGAAGTCGAGCTCGCATGCAAAAGATGTAGCGGGTGCTGTGATCGGGTTGATGTGTTTTCTTATTATTATTACTGTCTGTCAGTTTTTGCGCAGATGAAGCAACAAAAGGCTGTAGAGCGTATTTTTCTCCGCATTAGATATCGGTTCTTCGTGTTTACCGCATAAAAACAGCAGCACCAACAAAAGAGAAGGACACCACCGTCTTTTTGTAACTCCAAAGCCGACGCAACGCGACACGAGTTGAAGAATCACGTAGGGTCGGCAGGGTAAGCTCGCGTTCCGCAGATCCTGCAGTTGAACGTGCGAGGGTGTGACGAGCGTATCATCTGCGAAGTGCGCTTGCCGTTTCTGCTCGTGTTGTTTTCTTGAATGGGGATGGAAAAAATGGACGAGGTGTTTCCTCCTTCTTCTATAGAGTTACCGTTTTCTAGGAAGGTACTTTTTTTTGGTTTTGATGGACTTGCTCGGCCTCTTACTGTTCCGTTCACTTCAACTCTCCTCTTTCTTTCTTCATAATCCCAAAAGAAGGGAGGCGAGCGAGCATTCAATCTCCGCCTTCGAGTTTTAGGCGACGTCAGCCTAAAATAAACAAATAAGTAGCCGCCGTATCCTATCATCAGCGGCGTCTCCACATACACACAAAGGTAAAAACACGGGGAGGACACATTTTCCCAGCGCGCGCTTCGTTTGGCAAAGCTGAGACTCCCTCGTACCTGTGCGAGTAACTTGTTTCTGACTTTGCTGTTCTCCCATCACAAACTATCACAGAGCATCACAGCATCCTTTTCGATAGCACTCTCATTTTCGTTCTCTCCTTCCGCTCCTTTTTTTTCATATATATATATATATATATATATATATATATATATATATATATAT